TGTTCTTTGCATTGGACGGTGGTTTAGAAATACACGACGACATCGCTTTGATACCAACAAAGATACAGGGCAAATCTCTGAACGACATTGTGCATCAAAATCTTATACTGTTTATTAAATGTAGTTGTTTTTATTTTTTTTATATATTTTTATAGCTTAAGTACATAAATAAAAATAAAGTTCAAAGTGCGCATGTTTTTTTAGTTTGGATATTCAAAAAGTATTCATACTTGAATGAATCCAGGTATTCGAATCTTGAGTATTCGAATACAATTCAAAATACAGTATTTAGGAATCGTATTCGAATACAGGATGTCAGTATTCGAATCACGACTGGTTGCCTACCGTAATTTTACTCTGCTACGTAACCACATTAACAACAATGCTTTGGATTACAGCTCCCTCCGATGAAATGGACAAGTATCTTGCACCAACTACATAGGCGTCTCATTATCCAAAGGAGCACTAAGTACTCATCATGTTATCAGCTTTGGCGTATTATGCGAAAGTTGCATAAGCTAAACACTGGCTGAATATTATCTTCTTGCTTTCCGTCTCTGTGATCATAACCAACAGTTGTTTCGTGCTTTTCAGCACTTATCAGTACTGGATAGGTCATACAAAACAGACAACGGAAAGCCAATATGGGTTTACAGAAAAACTCTGTGGTAAACGTTGAATACGGTTGGTTATAATAACAGACACGGAAAGCAATCAAATCCTATTCAGTTCGAAGGATGAAGGTTTAAAAAGGCTCAACCGATGACAACCCTCGACTACCGCAATGTTTTCAATTTCTGTTAAAGTCGCCCCTCTTCAGCTACGTAACTGTGTTAACCATCTTGCAGTAACCGGATGCCTTTGGTGTTCCTCTTTGCACGCAGCGGCAACCCGGAAATGCACGTCGACAACGCCCGGACGGAGCGGCGAAAGCTCAGGCCACGCTCACGGCCGACTTCGATTCAGATAAGCGCTTCCCGGCGCCGACGGTTATTCAGACCCATTCAACAGGTTACAATGAGCAAAGACCACCGCACTCCCAGGAATTACGCTCTTACCGAAGGGATAGTAGTTGGTGAAATATTCACAACATGAGGATTTGACGAAATATTCATGACTGAAGCAATCTCGCTTACAAACATCGAACTCAAAATATATCGGAGGATGCTTTGCATGACGGAAGCATCAAATGACGTGACTGGCAGGGATATTATGTAAAAAACCTATAAAACGTCAAAAAACCTATAAAATGTCATCTTGCACACTAGGTAGTTTTTAGGGTGCAAATAGTCATTCCACGTTTGGTCACTAGGATCGTTGTGAGCGTCCATCTATGGAGGGATGGCTCAAGTACACGCATTGTTGGTTGCATATGTTTTGTGAAGCCGAGTAGTATGTAGTATTGATCTCTGAGAAGAAAGTTGATTGAATAGCAAGATCCAATCTGGATGATTGTGTGTATTGGTTTGCATGTGTATAGTGTATAACATCAGCGATATTTAATGTGTGAGAAAATCATTACTGAATATGTTGCCGATGAAGTATATCTGTTAGCTGTGCTCGACGGGTTATTTATATGTTGTCCTTTCTGAAGACAGATTATGTTCAAAGTTATAAATTACGATTTTTTAGTTTTTTCGTGTTTTCAAAAACTTTGAGAATTACGGAAATCACCACCGCACCCGCGTGGTGTGCAATTACTGTTAGCATATATATCACTTATAATTCGATAGTGTACGGTGAATATAATTATTTATTTTCTCTCACATTTCTGAAATTTAGCAAATTTGCAGTATGTAACTTCCAGAATGGATAAGAAAAAGTCGATGCGCTACTAATTTCTAGCTTTGAATATCAAGTAAGTGTATTTGAGACAAGAATCCAATGGAACTATCATCAATACATATTATTAGCTCACAAATCCTCATTATGCACCTATACATTGCCGGTACCTCCAGTAATGCCAGCAGATTTTACATCACATCAGAGCCAAACCACACACTAAACATGGATAACTGAAGCTTAAAAAAATCGACATAATGTCACTTTTTAAGATACTTAATACCCGTGCCGCAACTCTTGTGGGATATTCTTCCAAAAGGTTGTCCTTGATGATGGTTGCAAAAACGACATCCATGCCAGACTCTTCAAGCTATGTCTCCGGAGCCACTGAAAATTCTTGTTGTATATTAAAATGTTTGATTCTGCACGATTATCTCAAATACAAGGTACATACATATTTAAATTGGAGAAGTTGTGTCTTTTGCTACTGCTCAACTGTTTTTAATTTATAGTAAAACCGAAAAAAAATGACTTTGTATCTCCCTGATTTTCTACAAAACTTTTGAGCTGCTTGGTCAGAGTAATAGCTTTACCATAATTTGCAATAGCTTATCATCGACATTAGAGTCTTAAGAAGGTTCTTGTATTTTAACTGGATTTTCAATTTCTTGGCCTGAATCTGGATCTTCAACATACAAACTTTCATCTAGGTTCAAAATTCCAATAAATTCTTATTTTTGAGGATATCTGAAAGTACATTAAGTGGTAAGTCATCTTCTGGGCAAGACGTATCAGCCTCATTTAACGGATCTTAACTTTGCATATTTTCATACTTAAACTGCAACGACGCTCATACCAGACTCTTCACGCTATGTCTCCGGAGCCCCAGAGAAGATCTATATTTGAATTCTAGTGGGATATCAAAATGTTTGATTCGCCACGATAAACTCAAATACCAGGTACAGGTATATTTAAATTGGAAAAGAGTGTATTTTGCAAAGGCTCAACTGTTTTCAATTAAGAGTAAAACCGAGAAAAAATTGTGGGCTTGGCACATCTAGAAAGAACTACTGGACTACCTCTCTGAAAAGATGGACATCATCAGCATCAATCATCTCCTTACTCGTAAGAGAATTCTCTATGGCTGTTTGAATGTTTGGTTATATTCCCACGTTAATGGACAAAGACCACCACACTCTCAGGAGTTATGTTCTTATAATGGGTGATTTTTTTGCTAGTATCTTTTTGGCAACACTGTTTTTGACAGATGACGCGTGCATCGTGTCTTGTGTCATTGTCAAACTTGTTCAGTTTGGTCTATAATTTAACCATGAATCGACTTGCGAACGAACAACGCTTGCAAATTATTGAATTTTACTATCAAAATTCATGCTCGGTTAAGGTTTCTACAGACAACTGCAAGCTTGTCCAGCATGCTTGTTCAATGTTTTTGTACAAGCTCGCTTGAATGTCTGTAGGGAAATGTGGTGCAAGCTTTGTAATTGTACAAGCAGCTTGAGGATTGAATTGATTTTAATTATGCATGATTGAATTAGGCGCGCTTGCGCAAGCAAAACAGTACGTGTGTACCCAAGATTTTCAAGCATGCACAAGTTGGGGTCCGTTGATGATCGTATCCTGCTTTTGAATCAAAGGTGATACAAGAGACAAGGTTTTAATACATCTCTTCATCCATTCTAAGATAATTGTGCCAGTCACGTGGATATATTTTCAGCTCACTTAGTAAGTAAATGTGAGAATAGGTTTTCCCTTTTATCAACCATTCTTTACACCACACCGCACGGTTTTTTATTCGGGATTTTCTTTTCTTCACAACAACAAAAGCGGCCAAAGCGAGCGAATCGCCTTCGAAGTTCGACATATTTAATTAAACTACCTCTATTTTTATCAAGCATGCTTGTACGTGTGGCGCCAAAGGCAAATTGTGCATTCTTGTACAAAAAGATTGAATAAGCATGCTGGACAAGCTTGCAGTTGTGTTTGTAGCCACCTTTAAGAGAGTGCATCGAGCACTGCTTCCAATTTATGGGCAATTTGGTCGGTCTACTGAGGGAGTTATTCGGAAGCTTGTGACTAAATTTCGAACCCAGTTTACATTATTGGACATTAAACCACCAACACGCAGACGTAGAGTGAGGACTGAAGAAAATATTCCGGCTGTATCCGCCAGTGTTAGTGATGACCGTGAAATGTCGATTCGCCGCCGTTCGCAGCAATTGGGCCTCTGTTACTCCACTACGTGGAAAATTTTGCGATAGGATTTGGGTGTAAAACCTTATAAGATACAGCTGGTGCAAGAATTGAAGCCACTCGACCCCCCACAACGTTTCCAATTTGGTGTATGGGCGCTGGCAAAGTTGGAGGAAGATCCACATTTTTATCGAAAAATTGTGTTCAGCGACGAAGCTCATTTCTGGTTGAATGGGTACGTTAACAAGCAAAATTGCCGCATCTGGAGTGAAGACCAGCCAGAAGTATTGCAAGAGCTACCAATGCATCCCGAAAAAATCATTGTTTGGTGTGGATTATGGGCCGGTGGCATCATCGGGCCGTACTTCTTCAAAGACGACAATGGCCGGAAGGTAACTGTGAATGGCGAGCTGGACTTGGCTGACATGTGGTTTCAACAAGACGGTGCCACATGCCACACCGCACACGCAACAATGGCCCTATTGAGAGCCGAGTTCGGTGAACAGTTTATCTCACGTTTGGGGCCCGCCAATTGGCCGCCTAGATCGTGTGATTTAACGCCGTTGGACTATTTCTTGTGGGGCCATGTTAAGGCTAATGTCTACAGGGATAAACCAGCAACGATTGACGCACTGGAAGCCAATATTGAAGCATTTATTCGTGAGATACCGGCCGATATGTTGGAGAGAGTGTGCCAAAATTGGACCTTGCGCATGGGCCATCTAAAGCGGAGCCGCGGCCAACATTTACATGAAATAATCTTTAAACATTAAATTATATCGATCGTTCCGTCGACTCAAATAAAGATTTAATCGTTTATTCAAATTTTTTGTGTTTTTTTTTGAAAATCAAATCCTATACCTCTTAAAAGAGATACGGTCACATGGTACTGGCATGTATTTAAAAACCCATTAAAATGTAGCGAATTGGGCGGTGTATAGTGTGAGATACAGTCACTAGCAACGTTGTGTCGCCTATGCCGGTTCATTTTATTTGCAGTTGTCCGCATGGTAGGTGGTACTTTGTGTCATTGTTATAGATAATCAACAAGTTTTGACCCCGGTAAGCTCAATATAGTACAAATTAGTTATTACAGCCTCTGGTGTGTTCGTAATTATATAATTATGAAAGCTGATGCTTCCTTTGAGTCTTCATTGCTTTAGTTTTTCTTTAAATACATTTTTGAGGTTAGTTATTGTCTTACAAATGTGTGTATCCCTAGATGCACATTGCCCATTAAAAATAACGTAAGGCATTTGATACGCAATTTATGTTAGAATACATGGTAACTTCAAGAACTATTTCAGGGTATCGCTCCCCGCATATTTTACGGAAAAGCAGCAAATATTCCACATATTGTTGCTGTGCTACCACCGGACGATCCATGTGTATCAGACGTTGGCAAATCATCAGATGAGGAGGAGCTGTTTGACGGAGACTATAGCGATTTGGACCCCGATTATCAGCAGCCGTCCACATCTAAGAAGCGCAAATGCTTACCAGTAGTTGATACTTCAAGCGACTGGGAATCAGAAGATGATTTACCTTTAGCGAATTTTGTGCAAACATCGAGAGATAATGCTATACCAGGTGGTGATAAACGTTACACTTGGAGCAAAACAGATTTCCAACACATCAGATATCCAAAAGATGTCTTTTTTGCTGGAGTAGACGGAGAATATTCCCCTCTGGCTTATTTCTAAAAAATTTTTGACGATGATTTGTTTGAGCATATTGCACACCAAATGAATATTTACTCCACACTGACAACTGGGCGTTCTATTGATACTACAGCTAATGAAATAAGATCGTTTGTAGGAATTGAGTTGATAATGGGGGTAGTCCAAATGCCAGCAATCGAAGACTACTGGGCCATAGAAACGAGATATAGTATTATTGCCGATGTTATGCCTGTAAAGCGCTTCAAGAAATTGCGAAGACGCATACAGTTTCAGGATAACAATACTGATCCGCAAGGAGATAGATTATTCAAAATTCGTCCCCTTAGAGAAAAACTGCGACAAAAATGTATAGGTATCGAAGAGGAAGGTTTGTTTTCTATAGATGAAATGATGATTGCTTACAAAGGCAAGAAAGCTGGAAGTCTGCGCCAATATATGCCTAAAAAGCCAAACAAGTGGGGGTTCAAGATGTTCGTTCGAGCAGGCGTGTCAGGGATTGTGCAAGACTTTCTCATCTATACCGGCTCTAGTACTTTTGACGAAATTCTATTTTCAAAGGAGGAACAACAAATGGGACTTGTGCAAAAGTGGTACTTGTCCTGTGCAGAACTATTCAGAAACCAGAAGAGTCTTTCGTCTATTTTGATAGCTTCTTTTGTTCATTGGAACTAATTGAATACTTGAAGAAAAATAAAAAATTGGCAAGCTTGGGAACCTTTAGAAGCAACAGACTTAGAGGATGTCCCTTGCTAAGTGACAAGGAACTTCTACGGAAGGGGAGAGGTAGCTTTGATTACAGAGTAGACAATTCCGTGGGACTAGCGGTGAAAAAATGGGCAGACACTAAATGTGTGACTCTGGCGAGTTCGTATATTTCGCACAGTCCAGTGTTTGAAGTTAGCCGATTTAGTAAAGAACAAAAGAAAAAGGTAAACGTTCAGTGCCCTCAAATAGTCAAACAGTACAACATTCATATGGGAGGCGTAGACTTATCTGATATGCTGGTTTCACTGTACAAGACTCCCTTCAAATCAAAGCGATTGTATCTCGCTATGTTTAGTCAGATGATTGATATAGCTGTCAATAATGCCTGGCTATTGTATTGGAGAGATCTAGCCTCACAAGGTAAAAAATATAATAAGCTCAAAGACTTCAGAATAAACATCGCAAAGTCTTTGATTCAATCTCGTAACGTACCCAGAAAAAGAACTTCTGCTGCAGCAAACTTGCTCCCTCAAAACAAAATAAAAGTTCCCGTCGCTCCACGGACACTTTCCAGTTTTCACTGAAAAAGGCCGCTGTAGGCTTTGCACAAATGGACAAACAACAATTTTATGTCAAAAATGTAATTTGCGCTTATGCATCGTATCAGGAGCTAATCAGAGAAACTGCTTCACAAGTTACCATTCCAAGTAATCATGTTCCTCCTAGAGGCAATGTGCATTCGAAGATACAACTAGTATTTTTTTTTATTTCAATTTTTTTATCTGAAGCATGTTATTTTCTGTTGTATTTGATCAATAAAAGTTCAAAAAATTAGTCAGGACTTTTAATATAGACCTACTTCTATCGCTGCCCGTTTAAGGATTAAGAAAATTAGGATTTGACAAAGTAGTCATGATTGAAGCAATCTTTAAAACATCGAATTCAAAATATATCGGAGGATGTTTTGCATGACCGAAGCATCAAATAAAGAGTCCCGGGGAAAGCAATTATCGTGGGATATGCTTCCACCAGGTTATCCTTGGTAAAAATTCAACAGCAGAAACGACGCCTAAACGTCCATTAACCAGATTGTTTCCTTTCTCCTTTCTCTGAAGCCCCTGAGCAGCACTACATGGTGTTTTCAAAGTTATATACACAAACTGAGAGTTAGTTTACATTGAAATGCGAAATTTGGGTTGTTAGGCCGTCGTAAAACATTTTTACTTGACGTTTCGCCAACCACTCGTCGTGATTTGATCTTCAAAACTATGTAAACCTTGGGCATGCATGGTTCTGATTCTTACGATGAGTTTTATTAAGCTCCCTGTGAATAAACAGTTTGCCCATGTCCCAATTGTCCCAAAGAAGCTATCACTTACTTTTCGTTTTGTTCCAGGACCTTCGTGAAGCCAACGTCACTCTTCGAATCTAGAAAAGGTAGGGCCTTTTGACTTTCTTGACTAGGATAGAACTATTCAGTCCGATCTGCGTTGCATATAAAATTTTGGATTAGATGGCCATTTTAACTGAATCGTTACGTATGTGAACTTGACTCTTAGATATTTCCAGACCACTATATTAGGTTCTAAAAGTAGTACAATACAAAGCTAGCTTGAGAAGTAAGCCATTAGTGGCATAGTCAGTCAAATCATCGTTGGCTCTTATGTAAGTCTGTCAGGTCTGGTAACTCAGAAACCAGACAACTTTAAGGAAAAAAGGGAAGGAAAGGAGAGAAGGAAGGAAGTGAGCAAAGCGGAAGAAAATAATATTTTAGGACAGGAAGCGTCACGGAAGAATCACTTGACATATTTTGATATAGTCTAAAAATATTTGATTCTTATAAGGATTTTGTCCGAATTTCGGTTGCTCTAAATTCACGAATTAATTTTGATTACAGTGCGAGCCACTGCCTTTTGTGCTTGCGAACTTGCTCGACTGTGTAGTCCGCTGACTCGCGCAACATAGAGTTGCTGTGCGATTCCGCTTGGCTATAGCACCGCTGTGCCCGGTTCTTAATGTAGTCAGTCCCTTGGGAAAAGGACATCGAGGTCTCTATGAAGGGTTTGGTTCGAGACATATCATGGGGCGTCAGTAATAGTACGCAACGTCGTACTTTGAAGAACCGCACAAGCTAAGTCACTGCTGGTCTTATGACCACCTTATATAGCCGAACCTTATTAATCAAACATAATTTTGAACTTTTATATAATAATGGATAGAGCTGTCGAAACGTAATTTGGGAATTATCCAGGATGTCACTGACATACTTAGTGGAGCGTTCCGATGGTATAGAGGCATAGTGTCGAGTGATATACTAAGTGACATATAAATCCGTACACCCAGTTTAAATGGTTTTATTTTAATAAAAGTGGGTGAATGTATTTATCTTACTGTAAATAAAAAGTGAAAAAATTTTCAGCCTTATCAGTTGGACATTCCGGTTTTTATACTGCTTTTTTTTTAATTCACTAACGCTCTAAAAATGAATATTTCAGCCGCAGTAAAAAATCAACGTTGGCGGATTTTGGTTCTTGACATCCTTTACGATCGGTTACGATGCCTAGAGTACGGAGACCTGTACGATTTCGTCAACTTAGTGAGTTTGATAGGGACCGTATAGTGGGACTTTGGGAAGCTGGACTTTCTTTTCGGACAATTGCAGTTAGAGTGCAAAGAAGTGTAGACACTGTGGTTAGGTGTTGTCAGGCACTACCAGGTCCATTGCAAATAAATGGTTTGCAGAACACGGAAGACCTATTGGCATGCGAAGTGTTTACCGACGAATGAGAAGTTTTGGCTTGTTTTCATACCGGCCACACTGGGTCCTCCCTTTAACTCGAGAACACCGACGTAATCGCCTTGAGTGGTGCAGACAACGGTCACTCTGGGATCAGGAATGGAACAGTATTGTCTTTAGTGACGAGTCTCGATTTTGTTTAGGCATGCACGATGGTCGTGCCAGGGTTAGAAGGCGACATGGTGAAAGGAGGAATCCGCAGTTTTTTGTTGAACGACATGTTCATCACACTGTTGGAGTTATGGTTTGGGGTGCTATAGCTTATGGTTCCAGGTCACCTTTAATCTTCATCAGAGGTAACATGAACGCAAAGCGTTATATCCACGAAGTTGTAGAACCCCATCTTTCACCCTATCTTGACACCCTGGCAGAACTTTTCAACAAGATAATGCCCGACCACATGTTGCAAGAGTCACAATAGACTTCTTTCAACATAATGATGTCACATTGTTACCATAGCCACCAAAATCTCCCGACTTATCCCCAATTGAGCACGTGTGGGATATGATGGGTAGGAGATTGCTCAATTTGCAACGTCCTCCTCAGACTCTAGAAGCACTTCGAGAGGAGTTGGTGGTTGTCTGGAATGAGATACCACAGGAGGACATTGACCACCTGATCAGAAGCATGCCTAGGCGCGTTGGAGGATGCGTAGCACTTCAGGGTGCATCCACACATTATTAAAGGTCAAAGGGCTTTAAAGCAGTGCAATCAATTTGAAATGTTTATCATTTACTTATTATGCTTCATTAAGTACTTATACAAAATTTTATTAAGATAAAACCATTTAAACTGGGTGTTCGGATATGTCACTTAGTATATAATGTACGAGATCAATAATGGACTTCTCAAATAATAAAGTAATACATAGGGTTTGTGACCATTGCATAATAATAACAAGTCTATACAAGGATACATCTTACAATACAAATTTCAAGTCACTTAATATAAAATCATAATGCTTGTACGATATGACGCGAAAAATCGTATGGTCAGTCTTATTCTAGCTGAACTTTTGAAAATCAATCACATATTATCAGGCAGGGAGGTGGAGAGAAAAAGCATCGCTTTCTCTTGAAATTCATTAGACTGTAATTGCGATATAACGAGAGATTAGCTATTTCTCTTGGCTGAGTTGTAACGACTTCAAATTTTTGTAGTTTATTGAGAAGGTACTCTAGGTTTTTTATTCAACAAGGTCTTATGGACTAAAGGTTTTGTATGTATGTTGAATTCTAAGATCTTCTAGATTCAATTTTTCGTGTTCCTTATAAATAAATGATCATATTTACTAATACCAAGACAACAACGGTAACCAGTCGCGATTTTAAAATATACTAAGTGACATATAAATCCGAATACCCAGTTTAAATTGTTTTATTTTAATAAAATTTTGTATAAGTACTTAATGAAGCATAATAAGTAAATGATAAAAATTTAAAAATGATTGCACTGCTTTAAAGCCCTTTGACCTTTAATAATGTGTGGATGCACCCTGATGTGCTACGCATTCTCCAACGCGCCTAGGCATGCTTCTGATCAGGTGGTCAATGTCCTCCTGTGGTACCTCATTCCAGGCAACCACCAACTCCTCTCGAAGTGCTTCTAGAGTCTGAGGAGGACGTTGCAAATTGAGCAATCTCCTACCCATCATATCCCACACGTGCTCAATTGGGGATAAGTCGGGAGATCTTGGTGGCCATGGTAACAATGTGACATCATTATGTTGAAAGAAGTCTATTGTGACTCTTGCAACATGTGGTCGGGCATTATCTTGTTGGAAAGTTGGATCTGCCAGGGTGTCAAGATAGGGTAAAAGATGGGATTCTAGAACTTCGTGGATATAACGCTGCGCGTTCATGTTACCTCTGATGAAGATTAAAGGTGACCTGGAACCATAAGCTTTAGCACCCCAAACCATGACTCCAACAGTGTGATGAACATGTCCTTCAACAAAAAACTGTGGATTCCTCCTTTCACCACGTCACCTTCTAACCCTGGCACGACCATCGTGCATGCCTAAACAAAATCGAGACTCGTCACTAAAGACAATACATTCCTGATCCCAGAGTGACTGTTGTCTGCACCACTCAAGGCGATTACGTCGGTGTTCTCGAGTTAAAGGGAGGACCCAGTGAGGCCGGTATGAAAACAAGCCAAAACTTCTCAT